AGGAAGAAGAGGAATCTCTTCTCCTGGCTATTTCTATATGACAATTCTGAAAGTGCTAACATCTCAGAACAGGTAGTTGCGCTGGAGTATTTTCTTAAATAAACCTATACATGCATAGCCATTTAGGTGGCAGGAAATGTTAAGTTTGTGTTCAACCAGGTTAAAGCTTTTTGCTTTACTTCTGCTAACAAAGATCTCTGCAGTCCATGTACAGAATAGGCACCATATCTAAGAACATGCCTTCCAAACCAGAGATGGTCCCACTGGGAGCAGTGAGGCTCTCCAGTCCAGCAGTGACTGACACTAAATGTCTCTCTTCCTGCATCTGCAGAAGACTTCCAGGACTGGGGAGAGGTAGAGAATGGAGGTGATGGCTGGAAAATTGAAGAGCTCCCTGGAGACTTTGGAAAAGAATTCCCTAGCRAAGAAGTCCACAAATACTTTGTTACATCCTACGAGTAAGGCGGCTTTCTTCTCTTATTCAGGGAAGGGAACAGTATCRCTTCTTCCAGAGCCAGGACAGGTTGTGCTACCAAGTAACTTGTTTTTCAGGTGGTGTCGGAAGTCTCAGGTCATTGATCTTAGGGCTGAGGGCTACTGGGACGAGCTGATGGACACAACCCAGCCTAAAGTTGTAGTGAAGGACTGGTAAGTAGGAATGATGCCTTGAACGCAGACAGGGTATCAAGAATGAAACCTGCACGTGGCCTTGAAACCTCAGCTATCACCCCACTGCACCCCTACACATAGGGCCCTCCTTGACAAATTCCCCTAGACAAAGCTGGCAGCTGGCTCTCCCTGCAGGTACGCAGGGCGCAGCGATGCCGGCTGCCTCTACGAGCTCTGTGTGAAGCTGCTCTCAGAGAACGAGGACGTGCTGGCCGAGTACAAGAGTGACACTATCGCCATCCCCCAGGACAACGACGCTGACTGGACTGAGGTGAGGTGCAGAGAGGGGCTGGRCAGGAGCCGCTACCTGTGCAGGTCAGGAACATTTGCAAGCGAAGGGACACAAGGTGCATCCTCCTGGGGGAGGACTGGGTGCTCTCTAGCTCGTGCTGCAGACTCGGGGATTTTAGTACCTTGCATAAAGCTGGGAAACTTGCTAACAACAAAAAACTCATGAGAGGGGAAGGAGATGCCCAACTGGGAAAGAGTTCAAATGGCCTCTTAAAAAATCAATGGGATCATAGCTCCTTCCAGTAACCCCTTTCCCCCTGGAAACAACCTCACCATTACCCAGCCTGGGTAGACTGGGCAGGAAGGGATTGAAGCCTCTGTGCACTGGAAAAAGGCAGATTCRTGGTGGTTTGTTGCTCACCAACAACCATTTTTTCCTCTCCCACCCTAAAGATCTCCCACACGTTTTCCAACTACGGGCCGGGCGTACGCTTCGTGCGCTTCGAACACGGCGGCCAGGACACGCTGTTCTGGAAGGGCTGGTACGGCGTACGAGTCACCAACAGCAGCGTGACAGTGGAGCCGTAGCCGCGTCGAGGGAGGCCCTGCTTGCTASAGCCAGCTTCCCTCGGGGCATCCACTGGCCTTCGGAGGCTTTCCRCATGGCACTGCTTCCCGCCTGCAAAGTGTGTTATTCCTGTGCGCCGACACATGCACTGAGTGCTGCGGGTGACTGGCCTTTCTGGAGGGGACTCTGCAAAGAATGGGAGGAGGTTCATGGACGCACATTAGACCGAGCTTTACCATTTGCACTGATGTTTGGGCAGGCATGGAATCACGTAGAGATCCTGCAGACCAGGGTATCCCCTCAGCCATTCAACCACTACCCCTAACATCCAGCCTGAGCCAAGTACTCCCTGGTCTCCTTCCCAGCCYTGGGCACTACTAACTATTGCACAGAGTGTGCAAGAAGGTCGGCCTTCTTGCAGGGGCATCCGGTCAGCCCCTGCTCCGTATGCTCCCTGGTGAGACAGCACACACGCCTACTAGTGCCTCTCAATGCCACTCAGGGCTGTGAGCCAGCATGCTGAGCAGACACCCCCCGGCTTCCCTGAGCCACATACACCCCTGCGGTCGCTCCTCGTGGGACAGCAGGGCTCATGTTTCCATTTTGGTCTGAATGCCTCCTGGAACGTCACTTTGCATCAAAGTGCAAACAGCACTTGCTAGCACTACCTGGAGCCAAAGGTGAGAGCTTCTGAGCAAGTCACTTCGTACACGCTCGGCTTCTTTGGGCTTTTTGCACGTTGCTGCGCCTGGATGTCACACTGGCCTTCCAAACTACAGCCACGCCGAGCCGGAGGGCAGGTGAACAATAAACACCGTGGTTGTGTGAACTTCCYTTATAGGCTGAGTGTTTTTGTCCTGTGCTTTCCCCTTGCAGTGGAGGTCAATGGGGCTAAGCCAAACCCTGCACGAAGCCGCGAGCCTTTTGGAGAAAGGTACCTGCTGTGCTCCCTCCCAGCAGCCTGAACCCCTCAGCAGTATTTAAGGGGCAAATCAGCAGCAGGCAGCTGTGCACTTGGAATGTAGTGGGAACTCACGAAAGGTGTGGAAGGGTCCAGGAAGGCTCCTACACAATCCAGCCCCAACAAACACGCCCCAGGTCACCTGTGGCCATAGCTCTGTTGTGGCTCTGACCCAAGAAACAACAAGCAGTTTGGAAACGTCGCTCTTCTTGCCATAACCTCTGTGCACAGTCACATAGCGCAGCCCACTCACCACAAGCTGTAATGCAGCTGGTGAAGCTGCTGGTCAATGTCTGCTGCACTGCCAGAGTGCTGCCCCACAGTGGGGATGAGGCCCCACTCTCTCCCTAAGGGATCAGTACAGCAAGGGCATCGATTCCAGCCTTGATGCAGCTCTTAACCAGAAYCTTTCCTCAGTCACCATCTCAGGCAGGACAAACCCTCAGCTTTTGCAGCATCTGTTACAAGTGTGGAGCAAGGCCACGGTTCTCTGTCCTCTTGGGTTTATCTAGGCTGAACTAGCAAATACACAGAGCATCCCCAGCACCTCTGTCACAACCTGCCAGGCTGCTCCTTTCAGAAGTCTCAAAAAAAAAAAAAAAAATCTGGCTTGCTTCATCCATTCCAGATCCTTTGTTCCCAATGCCACTGGTTTTCTGACCTGCATGCTAAACATAAAACCTGCTGTTGCTGGAGCGCTTGGGTGACAAAACAAAAGGGTGCCAACCCTGGAGGTGGCAATAGAGGCTACAGAACAGTCTCACCTTCTCTTGGCACATTAAACCTACAGTGATCACAGCCATCCCACAGCCATCCTTTACTTAGCTGTAAGCTACCCAGGATAAAAATAATAATAATTAAAATAAAAGCAACACGCACCACTGAAACACCTCATGTTGGAACAACTGGACAATGAAARGGGGAGTTAAAGGCAAAACTAGCTGCATTTAGCCCAGACATTGGCATGAACACACCTCTCGCCCGGCACGAAGAGCTCTTCAGTGCTCAGAAACACTGAGAAAAAGACACTAAGAGCAGCACAGGGCGCAGCCCGCTCTGGCTCCCGCAGCTCACGTTCCTCTCGCAGGCAGCCAGCCGGCAGCTCAGGTAGCCAATTGCACCTCAGTGGCTGCAGTCATGTGAGGTCCCTGCTGTCATTTTCCTTTCCACAAGGCCCACCAGCCCAGCCAGGCCTGGCTATAAAAGCCATTATACTTAAAAGGATTTTTTCCTAATAGCTTCTACAGTCAGCCTCTTGCAGAGGAGCAACACAGGGCCTGGCAAGGAAGCACTAACATACATCTCTTGTCAGGTCTAATTGAATTTTCTATACGAAGCATCTATTACGACCCACCTGGGGGGTTGTGGACAGATGGAGGAGTTTACTCCCCCACGGGGTGTTCAAGACAACGGGGGATGGCAGGAGGGGGTGGTTTGAAATCAATCTGTCAGTTCCCCCTTGCTTGCAGCCCAGCTGTTCCAGACAGTTATAAAGGGGAGGRGAGCTTAGGAGATTAATTCCCATTAAATCAAACAGCTTGTGGAGCCTGGGAAGAGTGTGCCTTGGGAGCCATGGTAGCAGGGCATCAGCCACATCTGCAGAGATAGCACAGTCCCAAAGCCAGGTGGAAAGTGGATGGATTAGCCCTGCAGTGGCGCCTTTCAGGCCCTCTGAGGGAGCAGCAAGCTTTGGAGGAGCCAACAGGCGCCCGCTGAGCTCACGCCTCCTTTTGCTGTCCACACACYGCTACCCCAGAGCACGCGGGTGCCGGCAGGCACGGGAACAGCAGAGGGCGGCCGGCCGCAGGCGGCGAGCCCAGGGCGCCGCGCTCCGCTCCTGCTCCGGCAGTTCATGCCAAGAAATACCTGGAATAATCGCAAGCATCGTGTGCTAGCTGCCCACCACAGAGGCTGCTTGCTGGTCACTGGCCCTTGGCTCCTCCGGCTGCAGTTTTGGTCTCCAGTCAGTGTTTTCTCGTCCTGCTGCATTCCTGTCTGCCAGTTTCCAGAGCCTCTCTTGCCAGCCAGAGCCCAGCAGCCCCCGGCCAAGCGGAGCACTCCTGCAACTGCCGCTTTGGCCCTCCCGTGCTGCTGAGGCACCACAGGTGCTGTGTAAACACCCCAAGGAACTGCAGCAGCCTCTCAGCTCCTCYGTCTCACTCACATCAAACCAAATCTGCTCTTGGCTGCTGCTGCCATGAACCCCGCAGCGTTTCCTTTTGGTTTCCAGCAGCTTCCTCCTTGGTGTGTGTCATGAGTTTCTTTTGCCTACAAGACAGCATGAGCCTGAGCCAGCAGCGGGGGAAAGGGAACACGAAGCCTCTGCTCTAAGGAGGGGCAGAAGGCAGGGGATGAGGAGGGATACCAGGGCCCTGCTGCCTGCAATCCTTCCAAGAGGTGCTCAAGTCAAGCAGTGCATTTCTACCTTACCAAGCTGTACACAGCTCCTCTCATTGACACATGAAGCATTGCAGATAAAATCCCGATCCAGATATGAGTAATGGCTCTGCATTTTTTGTAAATTAAACCTAATCTTGTGTTGACTCTGCTATACAAGGAAAAATAATGAAGCAGATTAAGATGAGATCTTGTTCACTCTTGCTGAACAAAAGCCAATTAATTGCCAGCAGAATCATTGCGAGGCTGTTCTCATCTTCAACAAATGCAATCAGATAGAGCCTAGGTACTGCTGGAGGAGCCCTGCTCCTCGGAGCGGTAACTCTGCCTGGACAAATCCGGAGCTCATTTAACCATCAAGTATTCCTGTTTTGATGTTTTTCCCTCAGTCTCCCTAAAAAATTTGCAGAGGAAGATCAAAAAAAAAAACCCCAAACCCACAAAACCTCTGCTTGCCAAGCCYGGGCCCTCTTCTCCCGCTTACAGCAGCCCCTCTGCTTGTATATCACTTCTGACACAGGTCATTCTAGTCCATGTTTTAAACCTCTCCAGTGATGGACATTTTAGCACTCAGCAGATCCCCTTCTGCAGTCCTTCACTGTGACGAACCTCAAAAATGCGTCCTCTGCCAGGCACGCTCCATCTCTGCTGYAGTCCTATTCTGCCCCTTGTACAGTCCATGGTACAGCCACCTTCTACTAGCAGCCTGCCATCATGGTGGGAAGGAGATATTATTTTTGCCTCTTCTCATCTGCGCCTTACTGATGTGAAACAGAAATCTGGAGGAGAGCAGGAACTGCGTGAGAAAGCTTCCATTGAAGGACAAACCACCCACACTTGGGCTAATTGGAAGATCCTAAATTATGAGCATCGATAACACGCATCAAGGACACCCCTAAACCATCCATCCACACTTGGACAGATAAGAAAAATCACACTTGAGCAGTTTGGAACATACAGCAAGGACTTCATAAAGGATAACCCCACACTTGGACAGTTTGGGAAAAAATTTCAAAGAGTAAGATAAAGAAGCAGGTGTCGGAAGAAAGAACAGCCARTCCCAAAAGGACAAAACAGCATAAGGGGGAGGGTTAATGATTTTATATCCCTACTTTAAAACGTATAAAAACCTCTCGCRCAGATGCCTCGGGGTCCCTGGCAAGACCCCCTTCGAGGGTGAGCCTTGGACCCCAGCTAGCTGGTAATAAAAACATCTCGCTTACTTGGGTCTCCCTCTCTGCCTTTGTCCATCGGAGGTACGAGGGGCGTAGCTAACACCATGGCACTGCCACCCCAGGACAAGGGAGGGCTCGACACAAAGCCCTGCTGTGGAATCGGATGAGCGGCTTTGGTGCAGAAAGGTGGTAGCGCGTTGGGAATGTGACTGTAGGACACAATATGGAACAGTGGGGTCATCTCCTGTGATGGAACCTCACAGTGTGTAAACCACAGCTGCCTTCGGGATGGGAACAGAAACGGCACCGGGCTGCCTGGAAAAGAGGGAATGACTGTTTCTGACTCCCTGCCCACTCCAACAGCAGGTCACAGCTCGGAGCTACTTCACCGGTTCCCTGCAGCTCCCACCGTGCTCACAGTGCCCAGAGCTCCTCACACCCCGACAGAGCCAACCCACAACAGCCAGAAACAGAAGGTACTCAGTGAACTTGTGGACAACTTACTTGGAGAAAATACTTCTTCCTTTCACACCAAGTTAAGAAATAAAAAAATAAAATTAAATTAAACCCCAAAGCCTCCAGCACCAGCACTGACAGACAAAAATGACTTCACAGAAAAAAAGAGGCAGGAAAAACGATTTTCTTTGCCTGCATTGCCAGGGGAATTAAATCTTGTTTTTTTCCGTCACCACCAAGTGGAATAATCCAATATATTAAAGCTAATGTGCTTCTTGTATTTATTGCTGTGTATTTGACCTAACAGAGTTTTATTCCTACATTAAGAATAAAACCATTCTGGGAGGCAAGCTGCAAAGCCCTAGATCAATTACTACCTTCTCCAACAGCAGGAAAATGAATTATTTCTTGTAAAAGGAAAAAAAAATGGAAAATAACAATAAAAATAAAAAAAAAACCCTCACACAATGAATTCTGCACTGCAGATCTGCTGGAGCTGGGCAATATTGAATTTGGTTCCCAAGCAACATTAAATAAATAAATAAATAAATCAGACGGTGGCCTTAAGAGTCCCTCTGCTGCTGCTCCTGACACAGAGCCGGCCACTCGGCTGTCCCTTCCCCAGGGCAGCGCAGGCTGCCGCTGGCTGCAGCCCCTCTGCGCTCAGCCCTGGTGCTCGCAGGCTCCAGGCGGCCAGGAGCCGCGGGCAGGCGGGATCTCTCTTCCCCTGCTGCCGCTCTCCGCTGCCTGCT